GGGGGGGGGGCCAGCCGAGGGGCTGGAGGGGGGGCGAAGGCTGCAGCGGGACCCACCGAGCCCAGGAGGGGATCTTCTGGCAGTAGCAGAAAAGCTGCTGGTTGCAGAAACGCCCGGTCCAGGCCCGTGGAGAGACCTGTGTTGTGCCACAGCCCTGCTGCCGCCGAGCTCAGGCGGAGGGGAGAGGGTGCCGAGAGCTGCCAAAGCAGGGACAGCTGATGGAGTCAGGCCATGGAGAAACCCAAGGCTCCACAACGCTCTCCCCACGGAGAGGCCTATGGCAGTCCCCCACTGCTGCAGGGTCCTGCTATGGCCAGGACCTTGAAAGGAGACCGGAAGGGGGGATTAGCAGGCTCTCACTCGTGCCACTGCAGTTATTCATAGAGCAGAAAGGATTTAAAAAAAAAAAAAAAAAAAAAGCCTAGTTTTAGAGGGGATTAAATTCTTCTGCTTTAAGACTGCAGCCTGCCCACTAGGCGGCAGGAGGTTTCCCCTAAGGGCCTGTGCTCTTGTCTGCCACTTTCCAAAAAAAAAAAAAAAAAAAAACCAAAAAACTGCAGGAGCAGAAACTGAGGTCCTGGCTACATCTAGGAGGGGAGAACTACTCCAGTCCTGGCTCCAGCTTACTGCACCCACCTGCAGCTGACCGGGTGCACAGGAGGAGCACTGACGTGGTATTACCCTTCCCCAGGAGGAGCAGGTGAAGAGCCATGAGACCAAGTTCAAGACAATGTCAGCGGAGCTGGTGGAGCACCGCTCCTCACTGCCAGAGAAGAAGGTGAAGGGCAAGGAGTACGAGGAGCTGAAGCAGAAGGAAGAGTACCTGGAGTTTGAGGTGAGCTGCGCAAACGTGTGGTGCCCAACATCACTGCCCTCCTCCCCAGCACACCCACACGCTGTTGCCACTGCGGCATTGTCCCTAAGGGCTTTGCTCGCGCGCAGGAGCTAGTCCCCGCGCCTGCCCTGCTGCCCCCTCACAGGGCTAGCAGCTTGCCGAGGGGGTTGAGGGGGCACCCGAGGGAGCAAGGCCTCGTGCTGCTCCTGTGCTCTGGGATGCTCACCAGCACCTCCAGGAATGAATGCTGGGCCAAAGGGCAGTGCTCTGCTTCCCCTCACCTTGACCTTGCCTCGCTTTGCCCCCAGAAATCCCGCTACGGCACCTATGCCATGCTGCTGCGGGCCAAGTTGAAGGCCGGCTCTGAGGACCTGGCGGCGTTTGAGTCCACACTCTTTGATGCCGCAGGCAGTGAGGACGATGGCCTAAAGAAGTCTCGCTCCAGCCCCTCCCTCAACATGGAGCCCCCCAGCACAAGTACCAAGGTCAAACGCAATGTCTCGGAGCGTGCCAGCCGCCAAACCCCTGGCCACCCCCAGAAATCGTAAGTGAGGGGCATCAGCCACCTGCGCTGCAGCTCCGGTCCTGCCACCAGGTGCTGGGGTGGACACCAAGTGCCCGCTGAGCGCCTGCACCAGTCCATCCTTCTTGGGCATACACCGCAGGGCGTAACAGCCCTCAGCCCGCTGCTGGCCCCAGCCGCACAGGTCTGTGGCCCCCTCCGGCCACGTCCCGGCCCCTCTGCTGGAGGTGGGTGCAGAGCAGGCCCATTTCCCACCCTGGCCTGCAGGAGTTGCCCATTGGGTTGG